GTCTGCAGATGTCATAAAATAACTGAAAGTAAGAATCGGATATACACAGTAGACGGTGATAACAGGAGAAATCAGAACAATTGTTACGTTTCTCCTCTGCTAATGCAAATAATCTTAATGAGCGTTTCCTCTGACCTCCATGCAGTATCCCATGTGCTACAAAAACAGAGCTTTTCACTCTTGACATCAGCCCATCTTGCCTATCTTAAATTAGAAATTATATTGGTAAGAAACCTTGAAAGCCCTGGCAAAAGGTGTAATAGCAAATGAACATTAGCTTCAGATATAAGGAGGAAAGTTTGGCATCAGAAATATCCCCTTGCCATATGGGGAAACATGTTAACTTGAATTTGCTATTCTTGAGTGGGAGATCAGGAGAAAAGAGAAAGAAAAGACAGAAATGGAAGAACAATGAAACTTGAGATAATTCCTTGTGACATGCGTAACAGCTGCCAAGGAGACAATCGTTTCACCAATCTCATAATACGAAGTCCTCTTAGATCCATCTGTAAAGAAATAGGTTGCTCTAGCAGAACAGAGCTGTGTGTAGCACAGAAGTACAAAGCAGAATGTGTAGATTATTTACTTAACTTAAATAGTGTTAAATCAGAAGATTTTAAAATTATGAAATATTTTAACACCACACCAACAAACAAACAAGCTATAAGCACTTCACATTTACATTTCACCATAAACTGCTTCCTTAAAATGGCTTACATGATTTTTGAATAACTTTCACACTTAGGATCTAAAGAACCAGGAAACGAATTCCAGAAAAAGGGAACAGCCACTCAGAAGACATCTCTACATGCCTCTGTTACTCCTAAGTGACCAAGAGAGGATGCAAAGAAGAGGATAGTATTAGCTGAGTGTAGGGATTGTATGCCACCAAGTTAATACAGAGCCACATTTAGCAGCTTTTGTTTTAACTTCCTCTACTAGGGATGAGAGAAAATTTCAAAGTACTATTCTAGAATAATCACTCCATTTCTTAAGGCTAGGGTGGGGAACCCTCTTCTCCCCAACAATTAGGGTGTTTCTTTTAAGGCTTCCATAGGTGACAGTGGAAGCTTTTTAGAAGCACAATTGCTGCATGGGTGCATTTTCATATGAGGGTCTGCAGCTAAAGAACGAAGGGCATGTGCTGCCCCCTCCCCACCCGAAAACTGCTGCTCCTTTAGCTAGGCAATTAGGCTTGAAAACAGCTTTCCTTTGGAGCCAATTTGAGGCTTTTTTCAAGCCTAACTGCCAAGACCGAGAAGGCAGCTAGGGAGTAAGATATTAACCCTCCCAGCACCGTGGGCTGCAGTCTTCAAGAAGATCACCACCTTAGCCATTTAGCTTGGGGGGAAAGCTCCAATGTTTTCTTCAAGCCTAATTGCTTGGTGGTGGGAAGTGACAAAATATGTTTTTTTGTGTGTGTGTGTGTGTGTGTGTGCGCGCGAGAGAGAGAGAGAGAAATAGGTGTGGGTGTGAATAAACTGCTGTGTGTTATATACACACTGTGCTATTTTTCTAGAAAAAGAAGTGCCAGAACTCAACATGAACACCTACCTTGTTCTCTTATAGTGGCAGTGGCACCCGAGAGATGCCAGAACTCAGTTCCAGTGAGCTCCAGCTGAAAAAAAGCCCTGGTTATATGCGAGAACACATATGTGTGGATTCTGTAAGTGTGCATGACCAAAGAAGAGGTGTATCCACTTTTTGCATTGGCCCCACCCAACACTGGTACACAGATCCCAGAAGGTTAGTTATGAAGGAATATGGTGTTTGCACATAAAAAGGTTTCCCACCCCTTTCTTATAGAAACATTATTTTTTTTTTGGGGGGGGGGAAGTTCAGTATTAACATATGATGTGTTTGTGAAACAACTAAGACAGAGAAAAACATTTTTATTATAATTACAAAAAACCCCAAAACCATAAAGGCTTTTCATTCACAGAATGGCTTATTTATAGATGCCAGAGTGATTCATTAGCTTGGCAAATGTGGACCATGAGAACTACAGCAGAATTGTAACCCGGTTTTTAAAAGTGCAGCTTTTCAAAGGTTTTGATTCTCACCTCAGGGAATCAACTACGAACAATGTACAATTTTTTTTAACGAGTTCTTCTTATTTTTATGTCACAAAGCATTAATTGACCACGATTGATAAATATTTGGTGAACTTTTGATGATTTGATTTTTCCCATCAATGCCTGCAAAACTGATAATTATATCAGAAACTTTTCATTCGGCAGTCTTTGTTCTGCCTACAATCTAAGGGCAAGCTCAACCTCTGACCCATATACATGGAGGGCAGGCACAGCATGTGTAAAAGACTGTGGGCAAGAACCAAGGCAATTTTTAAATATTGTATAGCACAAAGCACATGTATAGGTGATTTAAAAACAGCAAATTATAGTGACAACCGCCACCAGAAAACCAGCTTTGGAATGCTTCAATACTGCTGCGCAGGTACTAAACTGAAGGAGGTCAAGGATTAAACATTTGTGTACTGTATAAAGCTGGCCAAATACATAGTAGCCTGTATGTTTCATACTGCATAATTCCAAGCAAACTAGAACAATCCATGGATAAATCTATCAAAGCAAAGAGATAATGTCTTTACAGAATGTGTACTGACAACCTGAACAATCAACATGCTTTGGCCCTAAAAATAGCAGGGTGGCTGGATGCATGTATAGGATGGGCATATAGACCTTCCCCCATTGTGCTACTAATGATTAGCATGCTGAGGGTGGATGGATTGTGTATCATGTTGGGTGTGTCTGTGTGTGATTGCGTTTGTCTGAATTAGCAACTGGGCTATATATGGCTCCATAATAGTTGAGCATGGCACTGATCATCCTGTCTTTGGAAGGTTTGCAATGTTACCTCAGCTACGATCTGTGCCTAAATTTGGAGCAAGCAGCTTCACTTGTTGGTCTGCTTCACTCAGTGATCAATCTACCACCTTTATATTACCTTTTTAATGTTAAAATTGTCATTTCCCCACTAGTTTTGAGCACATATTAGAATGACAAGCTTGATGTTATTCCTCTCTTTTAAATACACTACAGGGTGTTGCACTCACATAATGTATTGGTGTATTTATAGGAAACTGTTTCTGGCAGTGATCAGGTAATAGTTTTTGACTGAATTGATTATTCACTGACAGTACTCAACTTAGCCTTGCAAATGCATCAACTATGTAATAAGGAACTATTAAGACCATTGATTTTCTGATTTCAATTGATAGCTAACAGGCCAAAGCTACACATCAATATTTGCGTAACTAATACCCAAGAGCTAACAATTTTGACAAATGAAAACCTCAATAGGCCAAACAGTGCAAATAAATGGAAATTTAAAGCCTAACCCTCAGAAATTTAAATGAGTTACTTATATTCACGATACATATTAGTCTACAGGTATCTCATGATGACATGAGTTAAGGGAATAGGCACATACATACATTTATTTTTAATCTAAAAGACAATATATAAAAAATGTAGGGGGGCCTGAGAAGAAGTTCATTTACTGCTCACAGCATCCAACCCATAACGTTTGAAGCCTTATGTAGAGATGTGCTGCAGTATTATTAAAAATAATCATCTTCCAGGTAATTATAAAATATTTAAAGCCTTCTCTAAGAACCATGAATTTAAATGAAACCCATAACTTGCCCAAGGTATTGCTGACCATCTGTTTATACAATTCACCTAAATGTTGAAGATGAGTTTAAGCTACTTATTCATGCACTTTAAGCACGTGGGATCTTATTTCCATAATTAATTACCTTGGGCTCCATTTATTAGAAATTCCATTGTGTTGCGATAATGACACAAGGAAGACAAATATGCCAGAAATATGCCAGAAAGCACATACAGTGGTATATCTAACTTGGGAGGACAAGGGCTGTATTAGAAATGTTCATGATCCCAATAATCAGAGGTTCCAGACAGTTCTCTGAAGCCAACTGGCAATAAAGCAGCTGCAGAACATCTGTAGACTCTTAAGGAAGGTCTTTCGGCCTGAAAAACCCTTTAAAACATATCAAACTAATAATATGGATTTATGTTTTCATCTTGTGAGGTAGCTGCGGGTGCCCCTTGCAGTTTCTGCTAATCGTCAAGGATAACAGTGTTTTAACACAAAATCTCCTTCACAGCCCATTTTCTTCAGTTTTGAACTTGCAATCAAGCCAATGCTAAATTGGTAAGACCGCAGTCCTTCCAAAGCCAGATGTAATTTCACAAACAGATTTATGACTTTGCTGCATTAGGTCTGTGAAGAAAATGTTGTAAATAATGCAACTCTGAAATCATATCCTTTCAAACTGACAGCTATTACTTCAGATTTTCTGAAGCTTTGTATTTAAGGCCCACTACTGCTAAACCCTTAGTTTGTGACCATCAGCAGGATTGTAAAATAAGACCATTTGGCAGCTGATCAAGAACAAAGAACTACTAAGACATGCTTCTCTGCCTCCTTTGCTGGCAGGAAGATGCACCCCGCCCCCCCGCAATGTAAGACTGGCTGTAACCTTTAGTCAAAAACAGGCTTAATGTTAAGTCACACTTTGATAGTAGAGACAATGTTTTAACATAGAATATATAGATAATCAAATAAATTACAAACGGATCAAGGGAAAGTAGGAGAGAAAAGGTATGTGGACTGGGTGCAATTCTCCTCTCATGTCAATCAATGCAGACCCAATGCAGTCCTTCATTTCCAGTAATATCTAGTAGTAGAAGAGCCCTCCTGGATCAGGTCACCCAGATCAGGTCATCCTCTTCTTACTGTGGTCAAACAGATGCCTATGGGAAGCATGCAAGCAGGACTTTGCAGTTCCTAGCAATTGGTATTCAGGAACATACTGCCTCCAACAGTGGAGGCAGATTATAACCATCATGGCTACTAGCCACTGCTAGCCTTATCCTAAGGCTACATGGTGGCAGGAGAATCTCTACGACTGCAGGAAAATGGCCTTCACAAAGAGGAACATTTTTTTGTTAAGCTAGCCGGCTACTCTGCAATGGTAGGTACATGCAATGTACAGCCTGCCCCTGACCTTTACTGATCAATAGAGCCCAATATTAAGGACACTTCTCATTTTTATAACCGTTAAAATGAAAACAGCGTTTAACAAATAGCAGAGGTTTCTTGACATATTGCCATTCCAGAGCTGCTCTTTTCTCTCTTTCTTCTTTTTCAGAACTTCAGCTTCACAATATTATTATACAAGCAATCTCACATCTGGATATATTAGAAAAACACAAATATATAAAAAATAGAGGAAGAATAAGGTCTTACTGGCAAAACCCTATCGTTGGTGATTAAAATATAAGCACGTTTTAATGCCTCACAAAAAATGTCCGTGATTTTTATAATGATGAAATTGCAGTTGGTGAATTATTTATGTCAGATCAGCACTTATTAAAATTTGTCCCTTTGACTTGTCTAATATTCCAAATAGTTAAACAAGCCATGATCAAGCAGCAGCACCAGGAGCCAATACATTAAAGATTGCAGTCTCTGTCCCTTTCTCACATCTGAAGAAAATTTGACTTTTTAGCTTCTCCTTCCAATCCAACCTCAACCATTCTGTGGTCATTATACTAAAAATAAATAAATAATGGTGGTCTACCATTTTGGCAAGTCAATCACAAGTCAAGTAATATGAAAGTACCACTCTAGAAATTGTTGCACAAGTACCGCAATGCACTTGGCAAAGTGTACAACAAGTAGTGTTTAACGATATCTGCACAACAAAAGGAAACAGAAATAAATTGTTCCATTTGAACCAATCCAATACACATTCTTAAATGAATCAGTCCTTTATTGATTCCATCTCTCCCCCAATTTTACAGCTGGAGAACTGAGACAGATACAAGTAACTTAGCATATTCATGGCAAATAAAAAAATTAAAAATTCAAGCACACCACAAACAACTTACAACAGAAATATTAGACCTCAGATTAGTTACTTGCATACTTATGAGTTGAGATGGAGATACTGATCTGTATCAGTTAGGAAACATCCTGTGAAATTTCACAGATGTGGTGGTTATTTTGGGACCAAGGACAATTCCAGATACTCCTCAACAATCAACTTGCTAACTTCTCTCCCCAATCAGTTCCCAGCCCATACTACCATACAAAGAAGGGCCTCAAGTTCTTGCCTACAAGATATTTCTTTCTATTCTTGATGAGCTCCTGCTAACTGAACCGAACATCCAAAACACCATTAAAGAAAAACCATTTGACTCTATCCAAACATCTTCAACTTGGCATTACTACATAACTGAGAAGGCTAGGTAAAATGAAAGGAAGTTCTGAAAGGCAGAGAAAGGGTGAGCAAGGAGGGGAAGGAAACTATGAAATGCCAATCATTCTTCTAACTACTATATGAAAGGCAAAATTTAAAGTACACAAGAATATTCAGTCTAATTAGCAGCAGGTCAAGGTGAAGACGAAGAGCTTGCAGGAAGGGATCAGTTCATTTTATTTTTTGTTTAAGAAGAAATCTTAAAATATAAAAACTGAAAACAGGTGAAGATTTTTGTTTACATATTGCCATGCAATTTTTGGCGGCCATAATCCATAGTTAACCACAAACAACAGTTGCCACAGAATAACAATAAGACTTGACCAATATTAGCAGCATTTCTTAAGGTATTTCAATTTTTTGGGTGCATCTGTGTTCTAAATGTTGCTTTATATTAAGCTGAATATCTCAAATAATGTACACCATATTAATTAATCCATTTGTCATAAAATTACAATAAAAGATGAAACATACGTAAAAGGAGATCACAGTATGTACCAGATGTTACAAATTCTCAAGACACTGGAAATTCAACACCAGGTGGTTATGTCGGCCTAATGAAGCAACATCTCTACTCTCCAGGGACATGAAGGGTGCAGTTGGAGGCTCTCAGATATTGCTTAAAATATGCCATTTGTTAGGCATTAATTGAACAGTTTGAAATCCTGCTTTTTGTATAGTGGAGCCATATACGTGTTTAATTTAAACAATATCATATGGAAATTTCTGCTGAGTGTTTGAGCCTGCTTTCATTCAAGTTAGATACTTTTGTTACTTGAGCTTACAGTTGATCAACCGATTTTGATTAATGAAGCAATAACTTAACCATATGTTATCTAAAATTAAAATTGAATTTCTTGCAGAATATATATATACTATGTGTTAAAGGCCACACAGCCAGAGTTCAGGTCACTGCCATAACAATAAACTTCAATAAAATTAGCGGAACATAAAGTGCGACCTTTGGCAATCTCTAATGAACTTAAGGGCATCTAAATATATTTTCTTATCATTGAGTACTGCACTCTAAGTTATTACAGCTATGTGTGCCACGTGGTATGACCTCATGCAATTGAATCCTCCTGTAGCAAGTTATGCCTAGTTTTCAATGCGAATTAAACTAGGGAACAATATGAGAAGTAACCATCAGAAGAGTAAAGTAAAATGATTCCCATACCTTGCTAAATTTAAATCTAAATCAGGGAAGCCTATATGGTGCCCCCCATGTGATGCTGGACTACAATTTCCATCACCTGTGACCATTGGCTATTCTGGCTGGGGCTGATGGGAGCTGTAATCCAACAACATGTAGAGGACACTGCAATGTCTGCCTCTGATCTAGAGATTGTTAAGAGTGAACATCATCTCAAAAGTAGTTTCCAAAAGTGAAAATACAAGGTAGTAGATGAAAGACAAAGCAGGGCCAGTGCTCCTCAGTTTCTTCCACTTTTCTTTGGTGGAAACAAATACAGGAGAAGCTAGATAGCAATTTAAATTCACAGAGCTCAATTAAAGGGCTCTGTGAAGCTCTTTAATTGCACATCCTTCCAGTGGCTCCAGACCAGCAATCCTCAGATGCAGATCCTTCCACAACAGTAGTCCTGAGGAGTTGGAGCCACTCCCCAACCTTTCCTCTGTGAAACTGCTGGCACATCTCATGCGCTGAACCTTGAGGAGATCCTCCTGCCACTGGACTCTTGATGACCAGACCACAGACTCCTTGGAGGGATCAGGAGACCCCCAAGCCTTCCTCTAGGGCATGGGTAGGCTAACTAAGGCTCGGGGGCCAGATTCGGCCCAATCGCCTTCTAAATCTGGCCTGCGGGTGGTTCAGTGTCCTTTTATTTAAAATGCATCTCTGGGTTATTTGTGGGGCCTGCCTGGTGTTTTTACATGAGTAGAATGTGTGCTTTTATTTAAAATGCATATCTGGGTTATTTGTGTGGCATAGGAATTCGTTCCCCCCCTTCAAAATATAGTCCGGCCCCCCACAAGGTCTGAAGGACAGTAGACCGGCCCCCGGCTGAAAAAGTTTGCTGACCCCTGCTCTAGGGAGTCCTCACAGCTTGAAACTCCAGTCTAGAGGAACATACCAGTCCTTTAACAGTCTAAGTGCAGCATAAAGCAGACAGGCTGCCATCTCTTCCAGTTGCTCTAAGAAACCACTGTGTAACTCCTGCCTTAGCTAATCTTGGTCATTATCCTTGCTTTGCCTACCCTAGTCATCTGTTACCTTCCCTTCTGGTTCCTGGCCTACTGATATCCACCTTGTTTGGGTTATCACCTTCCTTTGGTGGTGGACATCACTATGGATCAGGACATCATGTGGCTCAGTCCCTTTGCCCGTGAGCGTGACATGAGATCTGTAGATGCTTCATCTTGACTCATCATACAGAAGCTTAATAAAACATGCAAGGCAAGTTAAAGAAGCATTCACTCAATCCACGTGCTGCAGAGCATAATGCAAACTGACCTTGAATGTGCACCATCCAGCATTTTGCAGGGAATAGTGATTCAGATGTATTAAATAAAAGGAAATTTCTAACTGTTGTCCTTAATGTAATATGCTGAGTGTCCTTGTCCTGAGTTCTGTAAGTAGCAGTATGTGATCAGTTATTTAGCACAAAATTACCAGGACAGAAATGATATATTGTATACCTATATTCAGACCTTCCTAAGAAGCCTGTAGATTATCCGAAAGAGAACGTCCTTTTGAAGTAACAAAAGTATTTCAAGTGAAAGTTAAAGATTATTTAATGTTAGTGAAGAGTGGGTAAAATCCTTTAACTTATGGACTGAAGGAAGGAACAAGAAAAAAGTCAGAGCTATGAGATCACATTTAGCGGAAGTTACTGCATGAATATTGGTAAATAGTCTATAACACAAGCTACTCTCCCTTTCTTACACACATTGCTCCTAATAATATCTGTACCAAACAAACTTAAAATTAATGCAGTTTCTATATTCAACACATCCTGTAGAGTCTCTTAGCGAGCATGAACTAGATGGACCAAGAAACAAAAGATAAGTACAGTGGTACCTTGGGTTACGAACAGCCTGGTTAATGAACTATTTGGATCATGAACACTTCATCCCTGGAAATGAGTATTCCGATTTGCGTATTATTTTTTTGGAATGCGAATTTGTGGGCTCTGGCTGTGGGAGGCCTTGGTAGGCTGCGCCGTGGCCCGGAACTAGGCCCCAGCACCTGTGTGGACTTGATTCAGCCTCTGCTGCCGGGCTCTCACCGCGGGAGGCCTCAGTAGGCCACCCCACGGCCCAGAGCTAGACCGCGCAACCTGTGAAGCCTGGATTCGGCCCCCGCTGTCGGGGGAAGAAGACACCAGCCGCAGGAGGCCTAGCAGGCCGCACCGCGGCCCTCACCCCGCCCCCAAAGCCGCGGAAGCAGTGCCGGCCATAGGGGGCCCAGCAGGCCACACCGTAGCTCCAAACCCCGACGAGAAACACTTACCTAACCAAGACCAAGAGCGAAGTCCAGCGGTGAACCTGGTAAGAAAACAAAGTGAGCCTGGGCCGAAAAGCATCAGCCCTTTACTGGCCCTGCCCCCCCCAGCTGGTAGCAAGGTGAGTGGCACCTGGCCAGGTAAGCCCACCCACCCTGTGGGAGGGGGTGAGTGGAAAATTTTGGGATTCTTCTTTGTTCCATTGTTTTTGGGAGTCTGCCTTGTGCCTTTGTCTCTGCTTTGCTCCTTCGTTTTGGGGACTTTTGGGGAACTCTGCCTTGTGCCATTGTTTGGGGGACTGTGTGGAACCCAGTTCAGCTACTTATTGATTAACTGTGGGACTGCTGACATGGATAAAATTAGCAAAAGGAAGAGAACCATGATAACTCTAAGAGGTAAAGAAGCAAATTATTTCTAAGCGTGAAAGTGGGGTCTGTGTAAGTCAGGGGTTGGCAAACTACGGCTCCCGGGCTGGATCAGGTCCACTGGGTCCTAGATCCGGCCCGCCCAGCCATTTAAGAACCCGCCACAAAGCCGAGACTCCTGGCGATGGCGACGGGTGGAAGAAGCCAAAACACCATGCCTGATTTACTACCTCAGTGTGGCACGGGGATGTCTCTGCCAATCAAACGCCTCACCTGGTTTACCTCAGCGACGTTTGATTGGCAGAGACGCCCCCATGCTGCACTGAGGTGAACCAGGTGCAGTGTTTGATTGCCAGACCCGCCGCTGCTCGGCCTCTTCCTCCTGTTGCCTGCGGAAGCTCCGTCCGGGCAGTCAAGCTGGCTTCCGGCGGTGGCGCTGCGGCCGCTATGCAGCCCTGCATCCTGATGGGCAGCTCCAATGACAAGAAAAAGTGCAGGTCTGGGTGGCACCGCTCACCTCCTTCACATGTCCTCCACTCCTTGTTTCGGGTAGAGGGCCAAGCTGCCTTTACTTGCTTACTCACCCTGATATCATGAATATTATTAGTATTAGTATTTGTATTGTTTTGTGCCCCCAGAAGCTGAGCGTGCGCACAGAGTTAGATGGTAGAAGGACAAAAATCCCCTTCCCCCTCTTTCTCTCTGCTTTCCCACCAGCCTTTCTCCTCTTGTTCTCCCTCCAAGTCAGGCCATTGGGGAAATAATAATAATCTTCCTCCCGCCGCTGCCGCTGCCCTGGTGCTACTATGGGCCAGAGAGCGGAGCAGACGAGCTCACTCTGCCTACCCGCTTCACGAGAAGAAGCAGCGGTGGTGGTGGTGGCTGTGGCAGCTCTTTCTCTAGGCGGGGAGGAAGCCCGTTTCGCGGCGGCACCGCCAGGCCTTTGGCGAATGAGGCAGGTGGCAAACCGAGGAGGCGGCTGGGGCTGGGGTGGGTGGAGAGGACTCCTTGCCCCCCTCGCCTCGTCTTCCAGCTCCCTCCTGGTGCCGCTTCTCCAGAGCTGCCATCCCTCCTTTGCCTCGGCCGTTGTCTGCATACTTAACTTGCCACTATTTTCTCTGTGGGGTGATTGTGGGTCTTGGTGTGTGTGTGTTTTGGGGGGTGGCGGGAGGATGAGCAGCGTGGTGGTGGGTGAGCTAGTCTGTTGAGGAGCCTTGCCCACCCCGATTTAATGCACACTATTTTGTTTTGTTTTATTACGCCTGCCCTTCCCTCGCCCCATTCTTCCCAGTGTGCATAGGAATTTGTTCATTTCCCCCCAAAAAATATAATCCAGCCCCCCAACAAGGTCTGAGGGACAGTGGACCGGCCCCCTGCTGAAAACATTTGCTGACCCCTGGTGTAAGTGATCTGGCAACGCAGTTTAGTATGGCCAAATCTACAATTTGTACCATCTTAAAAAATAAGGATGCCATTAAGGGGGCCAGTGTTGCAAAAGGTGTTAAAACACTCACAAAGCAACGAACACAGACAATGGAAGAAATGGAAAAACTGCTTTTAATATGGATAACCGAAAAACAGTTGGCCGGTGACAGCATTTCTGAAAGCACAATTTGTGAAAAAGCTTTACATTTGCATGCCGACCTCATCGCAAATGCCCCTGGAGCAAGTGCTGAGGTTGAGAGTTTCAAGGTAAGCAGAGGGTGGTTTGAAAATTTTAAGAAGAGAACTGGCATCCACAGTGTTGTGAGACATGGTGAAGCTGCCAGTGCCAACAAATTAGATGCTGACCGATTTGTTTTGGAATTTAAAGATTATGTTGAGTCACAGGGCTTCGTTCCCCAACAAGTTTTCAACTGTGATGAGACAGGCCTCTTTTGGAAGAAAATGCCGAAGAGGACCAACATCACAAAAGAGGAGAAAGCATAAGCCCATGAAAGATAGGCAAACCCTTTTATTTTGTGCAAATACAAGTGGAGATTTTAAGTTGAAGCCTTTGCTAGTCTACCATTCTGAGAGTCCCAGGATATTTAAGAAGAACAATGTCATAAAAAGCAAACTGCATGTGATGTGGAGGGCGAACAGCAGAGCTTGGGTAACAAGACAATTTTTTATTGAGTTTGGGCCAAGTGTGAAAAAATATCTCCAGGACAAAAATCTTCCAATGAAGTGCCTGTTTCTTATGGATAATGCTCCAGGTCATCCTCCAGGCTTGGAGGGTGAGTTGTTGGAAGAGTTTGTGTTCATCCGTGTAAAGTTTTTGCCCCCCAACGCAACTTCTCTCATCCAGCCCATGGACCAGCAGGTCATATCTAATTTTAAGAAGCTTTACACCAAAGCATTGTTCCAAAGGTGCTTTGAGGTGACCTTGGCCAGAGAGCTAACCTTAAGAGAGTTCTGGAAGAATCATTTTAATATCCTCCATTGCTTACATATGATAGACAAAGGATGGAGAGAACACTGAAGGCAGCATGGAAGAAATTGTGGCCAGAAGCTGTCCCAGAACATGTAACAGAGGCTGTTGAAGAGGATGCTCTTCTTGTTGAGGAGATTGTGTCTCTGGAAAATTCCATGGGCTTGGAAGTGAGTGGTGCTGATGTGGAGGAGTTAGTGGAGAAGCACAGGACTGAGCTCACCACAGAAGAACTTCAAAACATTCTGATGGAGCAGCAAAAGGCGGCAACTGAGGAAATATCTTCGGAGGAGGAGAGCAGAGAGAGTCTATCTACAGCAACAATCAAAGAAATGTTTGCAAAATGGGCTGAAGTGCAAACTATTGCTGAAAAATATCACCCTGATAAAGCTGCTGTAAGTCATGCCACTGACACCTGCAATGTCTCACTTTAGACAAGTTTTTAAACATCGGCAAAAGCAAGTATCAATTCTTGGAAAAGATCCAGTGAGTCTGAACCAGGTGGCAGTGGTGTAGGTGGCAGTGATGTAAAAAAAAAGCAAGGGAAGGAATGGCAGGAGAGGAGTCACCAATTGTGAATCTGGAAGAGGACCCCAACCCCCCATCCAAACAATGACTATCATCAGTGTAGGTAAGAAAGAAAAAAATCACATTTTCATTTTTTTAAATCATCAATACTGTTTTATTGATTGTACAGTACAGTACATTGTTTATTGCTTTCATTTTATGGATCAATGGCCTCATTAGATATTAAAATTCATGTTCAATTGCTGTTTTGGGGTTGTTTTTCATCATCTGGAACGGATTAATCAGTTTTACATTACTTTGTATGGGAAAGCACACCTTGGTTTAAGAACGCTTTGGTTTAAGAACCGGCTTCCGAAACGGATTAAGTTCGTAAACCAAGGTACCACTGTAATGAGGGTGCCAGGCGAGCCTCCCGGGGGAGAGCATTCCATAAGCTGAGAGCCATCACAGAAAAAGCCCGTTTTTGTGTTTCCACCCTCCGGACCTCTCGTGTTGTCTATGCAGGAGAAGACTGTAAAATTTTATGTAGGAAGGATACCTGAGTGAACACAATGCCTGGTTAATGCACCCAAAAAGTCTGATGCGCTGCAATCTTGGGACCGTACCACTTCATAATGTGGAGGTTGGTTCAATACCCCCAAGTCAAAACCTTCCTGCTCAGGAAAGCTAGTATATCAGGAAGAAGTGGTCTGGATGTGCCCTCATCCCAACATGCTACTTTGATTTATCAGAGAACACTGAGATATAGAATCTGCCCTCTGTGTTCTAAAAGGGAAAAATATCTACATTTTTTTTTAAGTAACTAAACAAATAGGACTAGCAGTGAAATTTATCTGTGTGGAAAGCTCCTGACCAAGGTCCTATCCAGCCATGCCCTCCTCTGGGATATGCCATTCTCCCTCCCCTCTGGTTTTCTTTTTCTTTTTTCCCAGTCCATCTTTTTATTTTTTTAAAAAATTTCTGACATTACAGAACTAAACTCAAATGTATTAATTCCACTCTTACATCTCATGACATAACAGAAAAACTTCATGAGCCAAGAAAGGGGGAGAAGCGTATAAACTAAAATATGAATCAGCATTTTAACAGCTGAACAGAGAAAGGGAATTAAAATGCTGCAATTTTTTTAAAAAAAACATGAGTAGATGGGTAAAGCATGTAGAACTGAAAATTTACAAACTAGTTAAAACCTGGAATCGCTGACTGCTCAGAAACTACACAGATGGACCGTGGGGATGAACAGCAGAAACAGGTAATGAGTGAGGCGGTTGCATTGTCCTAGATGCTTCCCATTCCACCAGTCTCCAAAGAAAGCCTGATATTAATTAGATATTGAGCCAGGCTAATGCTGGCTGCAGATCCAGTTATGGTAACCTGCCTGTCAGTAGATCCTTCCACTGGATTGGCAATTTTGATCTGCGCCCCAGACATCTGGCGAATCTCATTGATCTTGGCGCCTTGACGCCCAATGATGCATCCAATCAGATCATTTGGAATGGTGAGTTCATGAGAAATAGTTTGAGCTGATGCATCCAAACCATGGAATCCAGTGTTGCCATGAGACATTGGAAAGTGTGACTGTTGCATTGCCAACTGTTGCAGCTTGGTCAGATCTGGCTGTGGAATGGCATACTGTCCTTGAATGGTATAGGCCTCTTGAGGTGGTCCCTCCAGGTCAGAGTTGAGGCACACTGATGGGGTGGTGTGGAGGTTACTTGCACTGCCGCTGCTGTACCTGTCCTGACCGCCTGCAAAGATGACAGGAGAACTGGATGGCTTGGGTCGGTAGGGGATGGTGACACCCTTTAGGGGAGACTCCAGCATGACCACACATAACTGCCTCCCCTCTGGTTTTCTGACCATCTACTGCAACCATGCATAACAATGCCCACTGAACTGTTTCTGGTGCCCCTCTTAGGGTTTTTCTTTCTTTTTTTTTTTTAAAGGAATTCTACAAACTTTGGGTCAAGCCTGCTGGTGCATGGAGGCTGCAGAATGGGGGGTAGCAAGACTGAATTCTCTTCAATATAAATAAAATAATAGTCTCTGAACTAAGTATCAGACAGAAGGCTGCATTAGAATCCTGCTAGTTCCAGCCATTCTATGTACAGGACACAGACACCTATCCCTATCCCTATCCCTATCTCTGAAGGTGCATGCACTTCTGTAATTCCCACACTTGCAGTCTAAAGGGCTGTCACATGGAGGTTGGAGCAAGCTTGTTTTCTCCTGCTTTGGAGGGTAGGACCCAAACCAATGGATTCAAGTTACAAGGAAGAACTTTCTAATATTAGGAGCTGTTCAACAGTGGAACAGTCTCCCATGAGAGGTGGTGCACTCTCCTTCACTGGAGGTTTTTAAACAGAGGTTGGATGGCCATCTGTCATGGATGATCTAGTTGAGATTCCTGCATTGCAAGGGGTTGGAATAGAAGACCCCTGGGGTCCCTTCTAACTCTATGATTCTATGACAGAGTACAGAAGCACCTTGATGAGTCATTTCTATCTGCAGAATGGAACTAAAAATCACCTTACACCACAGGTCTCATTGTCAGAATACCAAAGAGAATGGTGCGTTTAAAAACTTACATATTACACAAAGCATTAACTGCATGAATGATACAGATTGCAACTGGAATGTCCATACTCTCCAGATTCTTAATTTCTGACTTAAAGAAAAAACATCCTAAAGGTGCTAGATGCAGCCCTTCAGTATTGTATTAAAGATCTTACCATATGAATCTGAAACAATATTTACAAATGTTACTTATAAATATTTTGAAACTACAGTTATCTTCCCTAAAGAACAATTTGGTAAACATTCTGCTGATTTGTACTCACCCTTTCTTTCTGCTCACGTGGGCTTTATTTCCAAGCCTATTCAATATAATGTTTTCCAAGCAGGGACCATGTGAATTGTTCATATAAATGGAGCAAATTAAACTGTCTCCACATATATCCTATCACATTTGTAGCCCTGATTTCTCTCCTTAACACGTGGCCAAGACAGCGTATTATCTCCCTGCAGAGGTTGACCTCAGGATATTAGATTCTGCCACACAGCTCTCTTGTACTAAACTGAGGGGAAACACTTAATCACCCCTGCCTTTTCAGGGAAAAATCAACTTTAAATTTGCCATGATGAAAAATCAATAAAGCAGTAATTGCTTGGCTTATCATTGTGTGGAGGAACAAATTGGGAAGCGAAGCTTAGCGTCCACACAGATTTCAGTGAAACACATGGAGTTTCAGGATCACTAAGCTAGAAAAGGGAAAGGTCTCAGAGCGATAATTAAATCTACTCATGCTGATTTTCTGCCAAATTTATTTCCCAAGTGTATATAAAATGTTTCACTGCTTACTAGCTAGGCATAACTAATCAATTCAACACTGGGCCAACACACATGAGAAACAAAAATGCAAATTCAAGAATGAAGGCATCAGGATAACATATTCATTTAGCATTAGTCAATATTATTTCTTGAATTCAAAGAAACGAGTCCTTATTTCACTCTACCCCTTTGATATTTAAGATCACTTTTACAAATGTCTTTTCCCTATAATCCCTTCTAAATCTTTTACACACTGATTCATTCCCGGTACCAAAATAGTGTTATCACTGTCAGATATTTTAATCATCTTTCACTTCACATTTTTCAAATTGTATGTTTTCATGAGCAGCTCCATTTTAATAAATCAAGAAAACTTTTAATTGTATTATGCATGATATATTAAAGTCAACCGTTTAAGCACCTCATAGCAGTAATCCAACATGCCTGGTTTTAATATGGAAAAGTACCATTTTCTTCTTCAGCAGTATTTATATTGCACCTTATCACAGTGCTCTTGTGGCCACATATTTAATTTACTTTGAGTTTGACTAGCCAGGCCTAGAATTTAAAGAAAATCAGGTCTGCCAATAAAGCTGTCATAAATCCTGATGCCATCATAAATAAAATTTAAATGCTGTTTTCAGTTAGTCCCAAATTAAAACACCCTCTGCCATTGAAAACATTCTTGTAAAAGTGGTGTATTTTTATTAATAGACCTAATTTTATGCAGAAAATTAGCATAGCTCCAATGGAAGTGCAATTTGGCTCTGTCAAATTCAAATTAGATGGGGGAAATCTCTCACACCTCCCCTACTCTGCTATAAAAATTATTTTTGTGAGGGAGTCCTTCAACTGGTTATAGGGACTGTGATAATTAAAACATTTAAAGTAGCACAAGCCCCCTTGTCTCTAATCTGTAGCTCAGGTCAGCTGTCTGTAAATTCTAATTTGTCCTCCATTTGTATTCATGACAGGAAAATGCCGCATATGTAACAGCAAACCAGCAGGAGGGTGTAGTGGTGGGCTTGGAGGTCAAATAATTTGATTTCTGAGCAGATTACATGTAACATCCAACATCTAATCTCACACCTGATTTGGCAATAAAATTATAATAAAAGTAATGTTAAGACACCATTACTAAGGGGCAGATAAAAGAACAACCTTTCTTCATGTGCTGGAAAACAATACGCTTCTTTATACCACATGTTTTCCTTAGCAAAGCAGTCCATTTCCAGAATCCTGCTACTTTCCAAAGTGCTCCTTTAAGACTTGAGAGAGGGGCAGGGCAATTTCTTGCATTTATTTTAAATACAAGGCAAAGCATGGGGAATAAAAGCTAAGCATCCAATGAATCGGTAATTTCAATTACAAATCAATATTTATTTTCGACTAATAGTTTTTGCTGGCTGCAGAGAATTTATAAACTATATGAAGTTGTATCCAATGTTAGTTCTACACAGAGTAAGCCCATTAAAAATTATACACATGACTAACTTAAATCCATAAATTTCACTGGGTCTACTCTGTGTATAACTTAGTTGGATACACCCTGTATTCAGATAAAATATGGCTAATGTGTGTGTGGGGGGGTGTTTCAACAAAAGTTAAGAATAGTAAGACAACAATTATTCCTCATATTTCCTTCGGATATTAACTTTCATACATCTAGCTTTGCCAAAAGCACCTATAAGAATTTTGTGGTTATCTGGTTTACTTCCCCCTCCTACACCAATTAAATGATTTTCTAACATGCTAATTCCTTGAAATCATTTCAAAGGTATTTTGGCCTCAATCTGGATTTCATTTCAGATTATTTTTCAAGCAAATTACATCAGCAGAATTCTTAATACTGACAGTATCTGTTACTGAACCAGTGGCAGAATTTGTTACAAAATTCAATCTTCAAACGGGGACATATTTTCAAAAATACAGGAAACTATTGTTTCCCCTACTGGTCAAAGTTCACACTGTAAGCTCTTTGGGGCAAATTACTTTTTAAAGAACTATGGCAGCCTTCTTTAACTTCTAGATATTCTGTCTTCTAGATATTCTGGACTACAATTCTCATGAGTCTCAGACAGCATGGTTGTGCTGACTGAGGTTGAGGCTGATTGGCAGTTGTAGTCCAAAACATCTGCAAAACACTAGGAAAAGGCTGCACCATGTACATTGATGACTATGTACGTTTACCGGCAATGCCAGGTATTGTCTTATTTCCTGCCCCACATAAATGACTGCAAAATCCTGACACACCTTTTACTTTCCTTGCTGGAAGGACTTCCCCTCATTGACATTCAACTCCCTCTTGCAAGATCCCTTTAGAGATGCCATACTCCCTCAAAATTGCCCTCAGTTTTACATACTGTTAATTTTAATTTCTATCTGCTTTGTTAATCTTTGCTGGCTCTATTGGATAGCTCAGAGACAGAACCTTTCAGCAGTGTATAGTCCTATTGGTCACTTCCACCCAACCAACTTTCTGGGGGCTCTAAGGCTGGTGCTAAATTGTGGTCATCAGGTTTGGTGGTGGGGTGTATGTGTCTATTTCCTTTTAATTCCGTTCAGGATATGAGTGAAATATGCTTGGACTCTGAAGTGGTGATAGTAGGACCAATATAACTTGTGCCTTCCCCCAGATTTCTTTACATGCTGGATGACACTGGACACTGTGATGGAGCCATCACTTCAAGATAAGGATGTAAGAACCTGCCAGATCAGACCACTGGCCCATCTGGTCCACCATCTTGTTCTTACAGTGACTGATCAGATGACTATGCCTAGATCAACAGCAGGACCTAAGCACAACACTACCCATTTGTGTGTCCTAGTAGGAGTGGCCGCAGAAACCATTTAACACTGGTCCTGAAAGACCTTCATTGGCTCCCAGTACATTTCTGAGCACAATTCAAAATGTTGGTGCTGACCTTTAAAGCCCTAAAGGGCCTTAGCCCAGTATACCTGAAGGAGCGTCTCCACCCCCATCATTCAGCCTGGACACTGAGGGCCTTCTGGTGGTTCCCTCACTGCGAGAAATGAGGTTACAGGGAACCAGGCAGTGGTGCCCGCCCTGTGGAACGCCCTCCCATCAGGTGTCAAGGAAATAAACAACTACCTGACTTTTAAAAGACATCTGAAGGCATCCCTGTTTAGGGAAGTTTTTAATGTTTAATGCTATATTGTGTTTTTAATATTCTGTTGGGAGCCGCCCAGAATGGCTGGGGAAACCCAGCCAGATGGGCGGGGTATAAATAATAATAACTACTACTACTACTACTACTACTACTACTATTATTATTATTCCACTTCTGACAGTGGTATAGAAAAAATAGTTATCATGGCTAGTAGCCTTTGATATGTCTTATCTTCCAGTAACTTGTCTAGCTCTCTTTTAAAGTTACTCAAGGTGATGACC